GGTGGGTAACGTTATTATGTGGGATCAACGTGCTTGGCAGCGGTACCCGCAGATCTCTCAATGAATAGATACGGCATGGGACTGTCGAGCAAGAGATGCCCCAGGTTCCGTCGGCCGATGTCCTGACCTTGTTCAACCTCATCCTGAAACGATGCTTTGCCATCTAGAGGAAGAACCTTCAAAGCTATGCATGGGCGGGTTGGCGTCGAGTGCGAGCTTTGACTGGGGTGCTCTGCGTTACCACTCTATGCGCTTTCCAGTGCCACGACATGGATGTGCATCCAATCAGACTCGCCGCGTTCTTATCCTCGGATATCTACAAACTGACCGTTTGTTCTCCCTCACCAGGAAATTTAAACAGATATGGTTGACCAAGATACACCGCCTGGAATACAGTCAGCGAACTGATGTCGGGCATCAAAGTAGGCAGGAAGGGTAGTGGGTATTCAGTGAAGGTGCTGCAATACCATTTTATGACGCGTTATGGATAGACATCGAGTGCGTCTCCCTCTGTTATTATCCTCGAATTTCTACTAAATATATCTTGTTTTTCTTAGATTCTCCTTTGTCAGGCGTACACGTTTCATGTGATCTGGGGTATCAGACCCTTCCAACATTATGGCAACGGCCTCGAGGAAGCGCAAAGCGACTATACCTCCATACATGGTAAACTGTCGTTCGTCTTACAGGCAGAGGCAAGTTCCTGTTCACACTTGGCAAGGGAGATTGTTTTTGGTAAGTTTCCGTTATCATTACGTCTTTGGTTACCTTGTCAGGTTCTGGGGCACTTTTTCATAATGCCAGAGTGCTACGACCCTGCGAGTTAGCGCGCGCTTCTGCATTTCCCTCTACAGCACAAGTCTTACCACAAACCACCATGCCCACACTGAACGTCTTCCTCAAAATTGCCGAGATCGCTGAAGCTTCCAGCGTGCCGTATCTCGAGAATGTGGCAAAGGTCGCCATAGTCATCTTTGAGCTACTCGAGGTTCGTTTTACTATACTTGCTATATGGATGTCATCGCTTACTCTGCGTTCTACAGCAAAAAGGAAAGAACAAGGAGGATGCAAAGGAGCTCTGTGAGAGCATCGCAAACACGATCGTCGTCATCGATACCCTTGTTCGTATGCAAGGAGAGCGGGAAGCTCCCTATTTTATGGGCATTTGCGAGGAGATGGAAGGGTGAGTGACATCTTCTGTTGGCTGTTTAGCCTTAACAGATACTAACAGTGGTGACAGGTATCTCCAAGGCATGACTCAAGATTTGAAGGATACTAAGCGCAAGCACCGTGGTATCAAGGGTGTCTTTAACGTGGACGAATTCCGAGACGCCATCCAGGCTTACAGGAAACGTGTCGACGATCTGAAGATGGACTTTTTGGTATGCTTCCACTTCCGATTTCCCGTGCTGTAACCCACATTGCCCTGCTGCAGATCTATGTAACGAGTGACTGCCTTTTTGAGGTCAAGCAAATGCGTCACTCCGAGGAAGATGTTGTGATCCGGATTCCAAAACAAACCGGTGCCTTATTGTTTTTTAGACCCCACGGCTCCGGGTTCCTGTCAGTGTGAACCCGTTCTCATCTCTTCGGATATATCCGCCCAGGCACATCGGTACTTCCGGTGCCTCTACCCATTGAGTTCCTAGTGTTATAATTATAGAACCGCATTTGCTCATGTCGATAATTCAATCACCCCCCCCCTTGTTCGCCTGCCGTTTGGTAGCTATACCAAAAATAATGTCGAGACGTCTACAAGCAACTTCGACCGCGAGATTGCAGCCTGAAGACGGAGTCCTGCGAAGGCAAAGCCCGCTGAACGACCGCGTGAAAACTGTTTCTACCCCTGATTTCTTTGGCAATCACTGGAGGCTGCGCCTCAGGTAGGGCGAGAGGAGGAGTTATCGATGCACAGGCAAAGAGCCTAGCCTGCGGCCCTGCGCAGTGCGCGAGGTGCTGGAAGAACGATTTTGAGTGCACACTGGTAACTGTGGCGAGTTATGAACGCTCAATCCGTCGTATAATGGAGTATATGCACCGGTTATCTCACATCGTTGCGATTCACTAAACAGTGTAGTGCGCCTCCGCAGTATCTTGAGATGATCTAGTTGGGTACCATCATATGTTCAGTCATCCCTTATCTTCTCCTGTCGGTACTTCATTTGTATGAGGAAACACTACCCCACAGGCATTGACGTGTTTAGCGCCCTGTGTTCTATAACGAAAGGCAAAGAGGAAGGAAAATGCCAGAGGGCTCTGCGCTTGTCCGAATGTACTCGGTTTCAAATAAGCCCAAAAGACTTCGCAGCCACTATTTGATACATCGCACCACATAGATAATCCATCGGGATATGCCCTAGGACGGCCTCTTCTTTCCGCTACGAAACATCTTTACTTAAGCTGACTATACTCTCCCTAGTGTAGTCGGTAGGCTACACCTTAGTCAGGTGACAGAATTTGGAACTAGTCAAGTAAATAACTACAGGCCAAACCGAGGCGAAGTTGAATCAATAAGTGTTGCTGGAGGAAAATATCCCATGATCTCTTCCCGGTGTTGCTGTTTCATGTTGGGGAAGTGTCATGATCGACATCAGAAGACAGTACAAAGATGAAGAAAGGCCAGGGTAATAACGGAGACGACTGCCAGATCGATAGAAGATCAAGGTTAAAGTAAGTAATAGAGTGCTTCCAGAAAGGAGCAAAGCATGAAGGATAGGGAAGAGACAATTTTCGATCATTGCGGTCAATGTCAAATGCATAGACGATGCTCACTTTCAGAAGAGCATAGAAAATATTTCATGTACTCAACGCTCTGATGAATATGTTTGTCAAGGCCTTCAGTCACTGATTCGCGATTACTCAACAGGTGCAGTTATTATTGCGCTGTTCACCCGCAATTTTTATGGCTATTAAGTACTATACAAACTGTGTACGAGCTAGTACAGTTACCTATTATAGATGTTTGATTAACATCGTGATTTGAAACGCTGGTACGCAGAAGAAAGAAAAAGCACTGCGGGTGTAATTGTGATTTGAACGATTGCTAATCCATCTTTCGATGCGGTTTCCTTCATGTTTGCCATATCCACCAGCATGCGGTGGATCTCAATGAGTGCCAACATGTTTTCCTCTATTATGATTGTCCATCGAGCTCCAGCATAAATCGAGGTAATACAGTGCATTGGTATGGTGTAAATTAAAAATTTAGTGATGAGACCTACGAGACCAACAGTCTCTATCTTTCAAACGATGTGAGTAATGTGAAGGTTTCGGGAGAAGGATATCCGATACCTTGTCAAGTAGAATGATGACTGCCACTGTGACCTTCGTCTTGTTTAGGAACCGGCTAACACCTTAGGCCTTAATCATTAAAACGTTAAAGGATTAGACAGGGACTGAGTGAACAGCCGTGAAAATAACATTGGTTCGTGTTGGATGCGGCACTCAGAAGTCGGCCCGTCGTCCGGATTCGAAATTGCGATGACAAGACCTTGACTTTCCCACGACTCCTTCGTTTACGCGACCATCGACCATCGACACTTTTCTGGCCTTTTCCATCCCGGAATGCTGTTATGCGCGCTTGCACGGGATCCTTATGATTATATGCAGGAGCATGACTTTGGGCAGAGAAACGAGGCGAAGAAATGACTCAAGTGCCAAGTGAAGATAGGCGGGAAAAGTAACCTGTTTGTTCTTGCAGCCTTTGAGCGGTGAAATTCATCAGAGAATATTCTGCAGGTTCTTTCTCTGATATTCGCGATACCTGCGACATGGTGTTATCGACACGGTTTGTCGACGCAAGGGTATTGGCATATCTTTGCCTTCGTCTGCCACCACATTTATCGGTGCTCTCGCTGCAGTCCTGCTTGCTTAGGTGTATCATCCAAGGGAAGAATGACCGAGGACCCGATTTCTGCAGTGATTAGTCGCAACTCGCCAGGGGTATTCATCGCTTGCATACGAGTGTACTTGGGGCAAAAAGGTGCGTGGTACTGCCCTCCATCATCCTCCGGTTCCTGATGTGTTGGACAGTATTATGGTCACTCGCAGAGCTCATCAACGACCCGAATCAAATCAAGAATCATCACAGCAGAGGCGACTTATCCGTGACGGACGTCCCGGCCGTAGCATGTCCTGGGGTGGCGACGTGTTCATTGGCTTTGGACGCAAGCCAGGATTAACGCCCACATACCCTGTCCGGCATTGGATCTGAAATTCTGAAGCTCTGGAGTATCGGCTCTGCTAGAGACACTCACGCGCTGGCGTGTGATTTTGTTCGTGCATGCTGTTCGAGACTTACAATTCTAGCAGCCTTTAGTTCCGCGTATGTCCTGTCTGTATCTCATCGGCGATGGCTTCTGTTCATGTTGATGCGACTCGGATTACCGGAACGAGCATGCGGCAACTAGTCCATCAACACATGCTCACCCTGCACCGTCACCACGTCGATATTGCCTTCCTCCTTCCTTACTTCCACGACGGCGTTGTAAGATCTCGCAGCGACATATCATCCCATCTTCAGCATTCCAGGCGCCGAGGCCATCGTATCTTCACTCAAAGCCACCCTATATCGTCTCCCGTCCTTTTTGCCTTGGGAAGGACCACCACGTTGTTCGCCCAACTCTTTCGCGTTCGAACTAGATAGCAAGTCTATTCCCATCCAAGCAGACGGTGTCGTCCTCGAACGGCTGCGGCAAATCATTAGCGGTCGTGCAATCCCTCCTTAGCGCACATTTGCCGACCTCTCACACTAGCTGAAGATTGGGGCGCGAGAGGTGCAATGCATCTCATATGTGCATCCATCACTATGCTTGCATTCCTACGAGAACCACTCAGGTGCACGCCATAGCGACGTGGTTCGGGTGGGAAGAGGAAACGGAGCTTGCACCGAGGCACCCTACTAGGCTTAAATCTCCACGGGGAGCAGCATCAGGAGGCGCTGCAACGATTCTCGACGCGCGCTGGTGAAGCCGTTCAAGTTTCACCGGAAGTGTCGGGACGCATTAGTGGTGTAATGGTTAACATGTGGTCTTCCCATCATCTGTTGGTATACTTATGGCCGCGTTCGGGGTTCAATTCCCCGCTAATGCATTCTGCAGGCATCGGTTAATGTGAACCCTACTTTTTGACCTTCCCTTCGGAGTTCTCTGTGATGCTCATGCCAGCTGAACGCCGGGTAATCGGATTACTTCCTAAGAACGTTTGCCCAATACTCGGCCAATGGATCCTCTTGATTCGGATCTCGCCACTGTTGGATATCGAGCTCGTGGCTCGCGTGTTTATTGGTAATCAGTCACGTGTACGTATCGGTAAAATTTCGTAGCTACGCTTTTTCTCTTCTTTACTCGATTGACTACGTACGCCGTCGCTCATGTACTCCGTCAATCCCGTATTCGTGCTCTGATCCCTTGTATGCTTCCATACCTGCAAGATTATTTCAACAGCCACGACGTCGTTACTTACTATCTCCCCAATACTGCCCGAACGGAGCTCAAGTGCCCTCAGCTGAGCAGCGGCTCTCACGAGTCATCTCTGGCTATCGCGACGGACGGTCAAGATATCAACTAGCGGAAATCAAAAATACGTACTATTGATGATGGGGATAGAGGCACAGGATAGCGGAAGAACACACGTGAAGGAGGATCGTCGTCGTGCCCGCTCACTGGAATCTGTATGGTTGAGGACGATATTATTTCCGGGATTATCGTCCTTTTGGACCTCCAATTCTTTGATTGAGCGGTCGTTTGTTGGTCCGTGGCAGTACCTTCGGGCGGCCATTCACGCTACAGAATGTTCAATTGGCCTACCGTTTCGGCGTGAGGATGTTAGCGCAAGGCTCTGCCTCTCTGGAAGATTCAAGAAAGGTATACCGAGGATCGTGCACTGCAGAACTGGCGATTCCGATATTAGCAGTATCATCGTCGAGGAAATCTTACTGATTCGGGTGATGTATGTATCTGCTATGCTATTCGCCTGTGGTGTGCTGATTGACTCATTCCTTCAGGGTTGCACCAACGCTGCAGCTAACCGTGCCGATATTATCTCCAGTCTGTGCATGCAAACTGATATGTGATTCGGAAGAGGTTTCCGGGCCGCCGCTCTCACTTCTTTTTCGCGGGACCTCCCGCCCTGGTCGAAGTGGCTGTAGCCTGCATTCTTGAAGGCATGGATAGATTGTCGCCGTTTGTTGCGCCGTGTCCTTGTTCATGGAATCGCATGACGCCCATCAAAGCTTCACTAGACCAAGTATAAAATCAAAAGGAGATTATCAAGAACGTCGAACTGCATGCTGGCCTTCCCACCTTTCCGCCTCGTAAATGCCATCAAAATTCGTATTCCTTTGGCGCTAAATCGGATGCAAGGAATCGAACCTCGCGATGCAGCAGTGTTAGCTTTTTTGCCATATCCGATGTTGGAGGAGCGACCACTTTTGTGCAGAGTATCTACATGGACACGATTAGGATGGAAAAACGTGGATGCGTCCTCGACTAACGCCGTGATGGACAAGCGCATACAGTTACATCGACTAAATGGACAACGTTACGGCCTCTCCGGCCTGACGAGAAATCGCGTTGATGGCGTGGGAACGCGCGGCTTTTACTTTGTCACCGACTTCCTCATTGTCAATAATCCGACTATCCTTTGTAATACTGGCACTCCTGTTGGGACGGAAAAGCAGAAGCTACAGCGGTCACAAGGGACCACTTCACTTCCTCTGCTTCGTTGGAAACAGGAGGCAGACCGAAGCTGAGCGTGAGCAAGGTACGTTCACTTGTCATGGATGAACTATCTTCACCATTTTGACTTCGTTAACAGGCGCGCATATAGTCTGGGCTCAAATCAATGCTTACTTCGCATTTTTATGTCTTCTTCTCATTGGTCCGGTATATGTTCGTTCCACTACTCATGTTAGACATTGCCATGAGGGGCCCCAGGCTCGTACCCGAAATGTGCCACACTCCACGACGCCTGCATTCTTTGGACCTTGTTTGGTCCATGCGCGGCCTTCGGCGTCCGATGTCGTTCGACGGATACGGGGATGATTGCGCTTCTTGACCAGACACGGTCCTACAGAAGTTGACCGAGATACACCGCCTATACCGTTAGCTAATTGATGTCGGGCATCAAAGTAGGCAGGAACGGCAGCGGGTATTCAGTGAGGGCGCTGCAATACCATTTCATGACACTTTAGGGATATACATCGAGTGCGTCTCACTATGTTCTTATCCTCGAATTTTTACTAAATATATCTTTTTTTCTTTGATTCTTCTTCATCAGGCGTACCCTGTTCATGAGCGGTTTCATGCCATCTGGGGTACCGAGCCCTCCCAACATTATGGCGACGGCCTCGAGGAAGGGCAAAGCGACTATACTTCCATACATGGTAAACCGTCGTTCGCCTTGCAGACGTTGGCCATTTCCTGTTCACACTTGGCAAGGGATATTGCTTGTGGTAAGTTTCCGTTATCATTACGTCTTTGGTTGTCTTGTCAGCTTTTAAGGCACCTTTCCGTAGTACCGGAGCGCTGCGACCCTGCGAGTTAGCGCGCGCTTCTGCATCGCCTTACCAGCACAAGTCTCTTACCACCAACCACCATGCCCGCACTCAACGCCTGTCTCAAAGTCGCACGTCTCGCTGAAGCTGCTGGCGACGGTGTTCCGTACCTCAAGAATGTGGCAAAGGTAGCTGTAATCATCTTCGAGCTACTCGAGGTTTGTGTAATCGTTATTGATCATATGGATGTCGTGGCCTACTTTGCGTTCTACAGCAAAAAGGAAAGAACAAGGAGGATGCGAAGGAGCTCTGTGAGAGCATCGCAAACACGATTGTCATCATCAATACCGTCGTTCGCATGCAAGGAGAGCGGGGAGGTCCCTACTTTATGGGCATTTGCGGGGAAATGGAAGGGTGGGTTGCCCTTTTCGTCGACTATGCTTCCTGAACAGCTGCTTAACGGTCTGGTTGCAGGTATCTCCAAGGCATGGCTCAAGATTTGAAGGATACTAAGCGCAAGCATCGTGGTATCAAGGGTGTCTTTAACGTCGACGAATTCCGAGACGCCATCCAGGCTTACAGGAAGCGTGTCGACGATCTGAAGATGGAATTTTTGGTATGCTTCCACTTCCGATTTCCCGTGCTGTAGCTCACATTTCTCTGCTGTAGATCTATGTAATGAGTGACTGCCTTTTTGAGGTCAAGCAGATACGCCACTCCGAGGAAGATTTCGTGATCCGAATTCCAAAAAAAACCGCTGCAATCAGTGCCTTATTTTTTTTTTAGACCGAGTTAACGTATTTCCAGGCACTCCGGGTATTCTCGTGTAATATGATGGATGATGATGATGATGATGAGTACATATTGATCCGAAGTTCCTGACAATGTTATAATTATAGAACCGCCCTTGCGCGTGTCAATAATTCAATCATCCTCCCTTGTCTACCTGCCGTCTGGCAAGTATGCCAACAATATTGTCGAAACGTCTATAAGCAGCTTCGACAGCGAGCAAAGCATTTCTACCTCTGATTTCTTTAGCAAACTCTGGAAGCTGCGCCTCAGGTAGGGCGAGAAGAGGAGTAGGATAATTATCGATGCACAGACAAAATGCTTAACCTGTGGCCCTGCACGGTGCACGGGGGCTGGAAGAAAGATTTTGAGCACATTTAAGGCTTTTGTGGCGAGTTGGGGCCGTTCAACCCATCGTATAGCTATATGCGCTAGCTGTCAGACATCGTTGCGCTTCGCTAACAGTCTAGTGTGCTGCTGCCTCCCGGCAGTATCTCAAGATGATCTCGTCATGTACCATCATATGTTCAATCATGCTTCCGTTGTTCCGTCGGGATAATATGTCTTCATCGGCATGTGGTAAACTGCAGGTTCCCCTTCCTGTCTTTTATAGGGAAAGACAAAGAAAAAGGAAAATGCCAGGATACTCTGCGCGATTCCCATTATACTCTGTCTCTACTATACACAAAAGACGTGGAAGCAGCCTTTTTATCTATTCGACATATACAGTCAGTTAAGCGGAGACTCAAAGCCGCAGACACCCATCTTCAAGAGAAAAGGTCCATGATAATCCAGAGAAAAACAATGAAGACAAACATATATCATATGCAGCTACGCGGCCTACACCATAACAGGGTCAATGTACACAGTAGCGCCGGGGACACATGAATGATTAGACCACTCTGACAGATTGGCACTTTTTTCTATCTGAAGTACGACCTATACAATGCCAACTTCAGATGCGGGAGCTAAGTAATGTATGTATATGAAAGTCAGTGATAACATAAGCGGAACACAATGGACGCGATACGGACTTTGCAGAATGCACAGGTTGACAGCCGGAAGTTGATGCGCCTTGACTGTAAAACCTTTGAACAAGGAAGCGCACATAACTCTCCCCAAAACTCATTCATTGGATTTTCCTTCTGCCTCCTTTTGTCCAAACGACGATTGCATCATGCATTGCTTGGTGAATCATAATCATGGACAACAGCAAAGTACACTTGTACAGGGACGGGACGGACGAGGAATCCTGACTGTGACAAGAGCAGTGAGATACAGAGCTGCCAAAGTTACTTCAATCAAAACCAACGGGGTTCTGAAGGCATCGTGGGCTACTCTTGTAGAAGAGAATTCGGAACGTATCATTGCCATCATGACTTCCCCCAGACAGTCGAGAATCGGTATTCAACTCGACTTTTTGTCTGTCTGATGAGCACGCGTGCTCGTTGTTACAAGTGATGCCCGAACGAGATATACCCTTCTCGTCATCGCTCCCTCGGTCGATAACTGTTTGGACAACGGGCTACCAATTGGTGGATTACCGACATCGCTTGATACGGAACACTCTACGTGTGCTAGGCCACAGCAATGCACTTGTCACTGGTCATCCGGGTACAGGATAGCGGTGGCTGGCCAATATGAAGACCAAGACATGTTTTATGGTCAGGAAGTAATACATAGAAACACCGTCCGATACCGGTGTTTGTGCTATCTCGTGTCTGCTCTGTTTTTGGGAAACCGTTGGCAATTGAAAGATAACGTCGGACCGTAAAGCGGATGCTTCAAATACGTCTCAGCAGCGTTC